AAGGGACCAGGCAGTCAAAAGTTCAAAACCTCAAAACCTAACTGGAGTCAAAGTTCCACACAAAATTAGGTTTAAGTTTGGCAGAAACTAAAGAAATCTGGCTTGAAGAAATGTTTGTTCAAAATACTAATGTGATGACAGCAGAGGTTAGTGCACGTTTTCATGGATAGTAGGAATAGCACAGGTGTAACTAATGAAATAAATGATTTCTGGTCACGGTCATGTCATGGCTTACTGGGACACTTGAATAGAACTGAGCCATTGTTAACATTACTGTTAACGCCTGTAGTTTTCCTACTACTTTTTCTGCCATGTATTAATTGCTGTCTTCAAATGGAACTTATGAGCTTGTGGTCACAACATGGGAAGTCGTATACACACAAATCACCGCTGCTAAGCAACGGCAACATGGACGCCTCATTGTACTCTTGTTCTTCTTCACTTTTGTCCTAGAAATATTGACTTACCTTGTATTTTAACATCATGCTGAGGTACAAGAAATTAGATTTACAAAGAATTACAATATATTCACTTACCATCCACTGAAAAATGACCTAAGGTATTTCTGAAAACATCAGCAAACGCATCACAACTTGTGAAATGGGAGCTTTCAGAAAATTTCTACTTACAAGGTTGTGAATACCACAAGAGGCGGGCATTCATATGGACTCTTTTAGTGAACATGGTAAATACAACCCCATTGAAGACAGCAAATCTTTTACCCGTATTAAATCCATTGTATAGTTGCAGTTATTCTTACATCTATTTGAAATGGCATTTTTCTTCAGATTTTTACCCATTGCCTTTGAATTTCTTAACTGTTTAATATTCATCAGTCATCTATTCTTTTCTATTTAAAGCAACTAAACAATAGTTGGAAGGGGAGGATTGTGGATATGTGCACTCAATAACCCCCACATCCCACTCTCTCTCTCTCTATGGGGAAGGCATGGGTCTCTCTCGGCTCACTGCTGGCCTTCAGGTCCCAGTTGGGCACTCATGATGGTCAGTCCACCTACGTCTCTGAGTGTTGTTGCTAGTGGCAGAAATATACAGGCAACAACAATCACAATCAGGATACAGAGGAGACAGAAGCACCACATGTATTTCTTTATCATACATGGGCCTACCCCTACACACAAAACACTGAAATTGGCACTTGACTGATTAGCACAAACATTTTGCAAAAGCAATTTACATGGGACGTGACACAGCTGGAGTGAATTCACCTCATTTAGGCATAACACATTCACTCACACACTCACAAACACATTTCTGTATATGTTGCTGGTTTCACAAGTTAATTCAACCCAACCAATGACTTAATTGCGGTATCTATACTGTATATCTGCATGTTTAACAGGGGACTTCAATCTGTCAGACAGGACGTGGCTTTTTCACACTGAATGACACTGTGAAGAGATTTAAAGCAACATTATGTAAGATTTGGTGCAATTTGGCACCCCTCCTGTTACAATACTGAGTGTAATTCACAGCTGCACAGCTGAGCTGTACGCATGGATTTGTTATGATTACATTATTTATGATCAACAGCTAGCTAAGTTGACAACTTTCCTCACACAGCCAAACATCTTACAAGTGCGACAACACAAGACATAACAAACCAGCTAATATTACTTACTTACTATATTAGAAAGAATGCCAACTCAGCGTCTGTCTTGAGGCCTTTTGCATAACAAAGCTCTCACCAACGTCCTCTTGCTTCTTGCGTTGGTCACTTTCTTTTTCTCATCCTCCTTAGCTAACATTATATCCATAGACGCTGCTGAGCCGGGTTATATTGCCTGCCTCTGTTGTTGCTTGAAACTTCTGTTCTGAGTTCTATTTCGTATAGGCCTCGCCCTCTAAGGACACCACTATAGGTTTACCCCTATGCGCGCCTGCGCGGCACAGATAAGTTTTGTCCACGCCCACCCACAGCGTAGGCCTCTCCTACGTCTGCACCTTGTATATATACAATGGTAAGACCCAGCCATCGGCTCCCATTTTTCTTCAGCACTAAGCTGTCTAAAGAGCAATTCTAAAGAGCAGAAGATATGAAAAGAAAGCGAAAGAATGTCAGCTAGTGTGACCTTCTCTATTTTGTTCTGTCTGCTATCCCCAAACACTTTGCTGGAGTCAAGATGGATGGAGCACTCAGAATAGTTTATTCTGCAACAATGGGACACAAACACAACCACAGTTGCTCAGCATGAATGAGAAGTTGGTCAGAGGTCCGCTCTCGCTCGAACCATAGTGCACTGCATTTAGCTCAAACAACCTTTTGCTGGGAATTTCTATTAACAAAATAAAATACTGCTGAGTAGATAGACCATGGTTAATAGGCAAGGCAAGGCAAGTTTATTTGTATAGCACATATCAACAACAAGGTAATTCAAAGTGCTTTACATAAAACATAAAAGCAATAGGGAAATATAAAAAAGTTTAAATGCAACATAGGGAAATTGAAAAACTACACATTAAAATATAATAAAAGTTACAGTGTCACGGTCTATCCATGACCAGTCTTGTGAGTGTGTTGTGGTTTGGCCAGTCTCTCTGTGTGTGGTGTGGGTGTGGTCTTCCCAGGTTCCTGGCTCTCACCCCTGCTGCTGACTGTCTGCCAATCAAGCTCTGGCTTAAAGACTCTGTACACCTGACTGTCAGCGCCAGATTGTTGTTCTCACGCACGGCCAACCCTCTTGAGGACGTCTAATGATTTACCTTGTTTTTGTGAAAGAACCTAGAGTAACGTGTTATTCTCTGTCTACTTCAGCGTATGGGATCTCTGTTTACTACACCATTTGCCACTCCGCCCGCCACGCCAAGGCCACCACTACTGGACCTCTATTCAACCACGCTATCTTCGCTCTCGCAGACCAGCTCCGGATCGTTCACCGACACTATTCCACTCATTATCTATATTATCATTAAAACCCTCTTCCGAACCTCACTCGCTGTCTCTGTCTGCTCCTGAGTCCTAACCGCACCCGACGTAACATACAGTGCAGTGTACAATCAGGGTTAAAAGAGTTAAATGTAAAATAAAAACAGGCTGAGGGGTTGAGCAAATAATTGAGTTACAATTATTTTGAAAAGAGAATAAACAGAGAAGTACACTTAATCTACTTTCTCTAGCTAGTCTGTACTCAGGTCCATAGCAATCTTTGGGTCCACTGAAACTCCAAAAACCCTCGGACACTACAGAGAAACCAGGACATGTCTGTCCGCAGGCCACTTTGATCCAGTTATACTCTGGACCCACCTGCGCGTTTACAGGTGGACAAAGGGTCCTGCAAATATATAAAATAACAGCAGGATTTTGAAATCAATTCTTTGACATACAGGAAGCCAATGTAAAGACCTCAGAACTGGAGTGATGTGATCCACCTTTTTGGTTTTAGTGAGGACTCGAGCAGCAGTGTTCTGAATCAGCTGCAGCTGTCTGATGGATTTCTTAGGGAGCCCTGTAAGGACACTGTTACAGTAGTCAAGTCGACTGAAGATAAATGCATGGATAAGTTTTTCCATGTCTTGCTGAGACATAAGTCCTTTAATCCTTGATATATTCTTCAGGTGATAGTAGGCTGACTTTGTAATTGTCTTAATGTGGCTCCTCAAATTCAGGTCTGAGTCCATGACTACACCAAGATTTCTGGCTTGATTTGTGGTTCTTAACATTACAGATTGAAGTCGAGCACTGACTTTCAATCTTTCCTCCCTGGCTCCAAAAACAATAACTTCAGTTTTATCTTTGTTTAATTGAAAGAAATTCTGGCACATCCAGTTGCTCAGCACCCGTATGGGATCATAGTCCCCTGGTGAAATGGTTATGTAAATCTGTGTGTCATCTGCATAATTATGGTAACATATTTTGTTGTTTTTCATAATCTGAGCCAGTGGAAGCATGTAAATGTTAAACAAAAGAGGCCCCAGAATGGAGCCTTTGGGAACTCCACATGTCATTTTTGTTAGCTCAGATGTGTAATTACTTATAGACATAAAGTAGTCCCTGTCCTTTAAGTAGGATTCAAACCAGTTTAGTACTGTGCCAGAAAGTCCAACCCAGTTTTCAAGTCTGTCTAGTAATATGTTGTGGTCGACCGTGTCGAATGCAGCACTGAGATACAATAATACTAAGACTAAAATTCTGCCACTGTCAGTGTTTAAATGGATGTCATTGAAGACCTTAACAAGAGCCGTCTCAGTGCTGTGGTGTGGTCGAAAACCTGATTGGAA